TTCACAACCAGTGTACTTTTAGATATATGGGACTCAGTACAATCTCTTCCTTGGGAAAATATGACAATGTTCCCATGAATACAATTACCAAGAGCACCTGTTTCGTGAATAATGGCTTTAATGCAGCATGCTGTCAGGACAAAGAAAGAAAATCCGGGTGGCAAAGCAGTCTTAATGAACGAGGTGTTAAGAAAAGAAATGGCACTTCAAAGGGCACTGGAGTGGAAAACAGAACTGGGTGACCTTGCATCACCAACTGCCTGCGTGTCCCTGGGGAAGTCACCTCATGGGCCGCAGTTATCCCATTGGAAGACAAGGAAGATGAAATGAGGATGAGGAGGGTAAGGGTTTGCTCTACCTCCCACAGTGCCTAACACAGGAGGCAACATTCCCAACTGTCCAGAGATGAAGGTCACCCCAAATTCTTGCAATGCCACGCCAATGGAACAGATACGAAGAATCTCACAACCACGGACAAAGGACTGCCCTGAAACTGGAATCAGAAAAGACAGGTGATAAAAACATTACAAACAAAAATCTGGTAACACCTGATAACTGGACAGGAGGAAAAGAGGCAAGGATAAGTCCACGCTCACAAAGTGGATACTAACAGAAATGTGGAAAGCACAAAGAGAATGGGGTAAGAATGAATTTAGACATGTTGAAATAAAAAGACAGTGGGACATCCAAGTGTTCAACAAAAGCTGAAAAAAGGTAAGAGTTCAACAAAAACCTGAACAGGACAGCACGGGAGAGAGAGCCCTGCAGCCCCGTGCACAGACCTGCCCCCGTGAGGACAGCAGGCTGGTAACTCCACGGGGCTGAGGACCAGGCTGCACCACTTCCTGCTACGTCCTCCTTGCACGTCGCACAGACTAGGTGCCCAACGAATATCTTCTGGATAAAGTGTTATCATCCAATCCAGATTCCTTCAGCCTGTCCTTAAGGATATTACGACTCCGTCAAATACCTTGAGGGAATCCAGACCCACTACCTTTGCTCTGTCCTTACAGATGCCATGCAACCCTAGCACAGAAAGAAATGAGGTCAGCGTGAATTGCGTACAGTGAGCCCGTCGTCGCTCCCACAAAAGTACTGACCGTGAACAACCTGGAAGGGTTACGCACTCTGTCCTTGAAAGTGCCCCATTCAATTACTTTAAAATGTTTTGGCTGGGGACTAGAAAGTCTTCATTATCATCATTTATTTAAGCTACCCACACATAAATTCCCAAAAAGCCTCCAGAAAGGTCAGAAATTAAAAATCAGCACTGACAAAGCTATGACTGCAAAGTGCCTGCTATATTCTATGAATTTCAGAAATGATAGACAGCACAGGTGAATTTGATTTTTCACTCTCTCAGGATCCATTCCCCCCTTGCTCTGGAAACAGCATCTATTTTTCCTGTGGTGAGTCACTCCCACCCTGCTCTCAGCTCAGTGGTTTGAGTATGGCCACAGAGGCAGACATATGACCTGGTCTAAGTCAGTCAGCACATCCTACCTCCTGGTCACAGAGAATGGGTCAGGGGGTGGGAATATAAGCCCCAGGCCTGAGTCAGCCAACCTATTCCATGCCCCTGGCCACAGAGATTAATTTTAGGACGGCCACTTGGGTCAATGAGAGTCAGGAAAAGCATTTTACTGGGACTGTGAGAGAACAGACTTGCTTTTTTTCCTGGGACTGCTAGCTTTAAGGGTGCCATGGAACCTGAAGCTGCCATGGGCCACCATGTAGCACCAAGAAAAGAAGCCAACATAGACAGAGGCAGAGTCAAAAGGCAGAGATAGACTGGCTCCTAATGACACTGATCCAGCCATATCTAAAGCTAGCCCTTTTGTGGCCTTTTCAGCCTCTGAGCTAATAAAATCCTGTTTTTGTTTAAGCCAGGCTGAATGAGATTATATACTTGCAACAGAAAAATTCCTGGCTGATCTAATTGCCCAAGCATCCCTCACTTTGAGGATAAATTCAATAAAGAGACAGATCCTCTGTTTCATTTACCAATTTGTTTTTTTGTTGTTGTTGTTGTTGCACACATAATATAAGAATAGCCCATGTGAAATTTTTGCTTAGGAACTTATAACTGCAGCTGAGGACACCAAAGCTCAGTCTTTTCTAAGCTGCGATAACGTAAGCAAACCAGAAAGATAAACAGACTTCAAAGGCTACACCAAGGACAATCTGAGCTCTGATCAGCTTGTCCCAAACACGGTGAAGCTAGATTTATGCTTTCGCACTGAAATTGCCACACTCTAAGCTGCTGATGCATGCAGAAATCCACAGTGCAGAGTGCGATGCTACGAGACAACAAACAGCAGAGACTGCCCACTCGAACATTTCCATAAGCAACGGCAGAGGCCCTTGGCCCCTAGACCGCAGGTTTGAGGACTGTGGGTATGATCCCCTATTTCCTCTGCAGCCCAGGTTGCAAGCATCTACGAAGAAAAACACATGGGGGAAAAGCCACTTGCACCACAAATACAGCATGAATAAATGCTATGGCGGAGATAAAAATGAACAATCAGGTTTTTTTGGTAGACTGTTTTTCTATTCAGGACCAGCCCCTGAACTTCTGTTTTTAATATTCGGTATCTTTTCATTTGACACTTACATTTGCCATGTACTACAGGTTGGGACGTTATTTTTACATACATTTCCCCAGCCAGAGTGTGAGTCCCTTGAAGTCAGACTCTTATCTTCCCAGAGCTAAAACAGTGTCTGACACAAAGTAGACATGTGATAACATCTGCCGAAAATTATCAGAAAATTATCAAAACGTTAAAAACTTGGCTAGCAGGAGATTGAGGTTGCTGTGAGCTAGGCTGACGCCACGGCACTCACTCTAGCCTGGGCAACAAGCAAGACTCTGTCTCAAAAAAAAAAAAAAAAAAAACAACTTGGCTAGCAATGAGTTTATCATACAATGAATAATTCTGCCTTCCTTGCTTAAAATTAGTAACAATTACCATTTACTGAATAGCTCATATACGCCAAATGGTGTGCTAAAAAACGTACATAAATGATTTAGCTCACTTACTTGGACTGAGTTTACCCTAACCTGGAAGCGCAACTAAGTTAAGGAGGTTGTGCTTCTTCTTACCCTCCCTTTCCACTGCTGTCCTTGAATAAAAACAGCACAAATGCCATGGAGGTTCCAAGTGACACATTTTAGCTCAACCTAAGGAAGACATTCCAGAAGGGACAGCGCCCTTTTAAAAGGCATGGGCTGCCTCTAAGGAACTGATTACCAGAGGACATCAATCACCAGGCTTGTTATGGAGACAATGCGAGCATGGGAGGAGCTGTTGACATACAGTCACCACAAGTAGGGAAGTGTCCTGGCCTCCACCCTTAAGCCTGCCAGGCTGGAGAAGTAGCTGCATTAAATCTGAACAATGCCTGAGCCTACAATGTCCTGTTTTTTCTTATCTATAAGCCATGGCTACTCCTCAAAACATTCTGTACTCCCTTATTGTCTCACTGTCTTAAAATGCTCACAATTTGAAGCAAAATGAAGGAGCTCTATCATGCCGACATCCATATGGTCTGCTGAAGCAGGACATGAAGGAGGCAGGTCTGAACCTACTTTTGGTGCCTAAACTCTAGCAAAGCCCGGATTGGATTCCACAGGGGAAGTGAAAGTAACAAGGTAGAAACTCCCTCTACTACTATGATTCCTTGACCCTGATCCTTCCCACTCCACCATACTGATTTTAGTGTCTGTGCCGCCAAAGCGAGTATAATCGTATTGATTGTATAGGTTATGGTGTTACACTGAAAGGAGCAGAAATTGGAAGAAGGCCACAAAAAGTGGTGCTGGGGCTTCTTTGCAATCATATAAATCTTAGTCAAAAATATATGCCTCTAAGACAGGTCTGAGGTATTATGTTAAAAAATAGTAACCTTAGCTAGTTTTGCTTTCACCTCTTTGCTTGATAATGAAAAAAATCTCCCAAGCAGCTATCGGCTGGAGAAAAAAGCATGCATAAAGATCAAGTAGTAGAAAAAAGCAAAACAGGGTTGGGAAACAGCTATTCAGAGCAGCTGGAACATAGACTATGAAGTAGGGGAATAGAAAGATGTGAAAATGGAAAGGAAGAGGACCAGGGTCAGGAAGAGCCTTGTTAGGGAGTGTTTACTTCAACCTAAGGGCACGAGGAAGTCACTGAAGGGAAGGGGGGGAGCACAGAAGTAGCAGGTTTTGCATTTTAGAAATCTTGTTTCAATTACTGTTAGACACTGGATTGAGAGGGAGGAGAAGATGCAAGATGTGGACAGGAAGAACAGTTAGGAGGCTGTTATGGTAACCCAGGCGAGAGAAGATGGCAGCTTAGAATGCAGCAGTAGCAGTGGGCTGGAGAGAAGTAGACAGGTGCAATAAATATTCAATAAATACAGTCATCGGGACTTGGCAGTAGACCACACATGGGGCATGACAGAAAGAGAAGCGTCCAGGAAGATCGGGAGATTCCTGGCACGGTCAACATGCTGGTGATGCCAGGCACTGAGATGAACACATGGTAGTTGGGGCTGAGGGGAACGTGATTCAGTTCGGAACTTGTTGAGTTTGAAATGCGTGTGTGGTATCCTAGCAAGGATATCCAGAAGGTAGTTGTTAGGTCTGAATTGGAAATATAAATGTTCGCTGGCATTACTAGCAGTACACTCACTGGCACACAGACCATAGTTGAAACCACTGAAAATAATTACATTATTCAGGGAAAATGTATAACTCAACTCACAAGGTCAGGGCAAGAGTCTAAGAAGTCAACGACACCGTGAGACCTGACTGTTATGGCTTACACCTCCCAGCTTACAAGAAGGCATCACATCCCAAGCCAGGGAATGTGGGTGTCTTGGCATGTAAGTGAAATTCAAGTCCATCCCTGTAGGAAATGCGACTCCCACTGGCCCAAACCTAACAAGTGGATCAGAGATCTAACAACTGGTCACAGTCTGGCACCCTCAGAAGCCAATTCTAACACCGTGACACTCACCTGTGGACAAGGCCTCCTCCCGCATGTCACCCTCACCGGGCTGATGAATATTCCAGGACGTTTTGGGAAGTGAAGAGATCTCCTCGGGGGATGCTAACCTCACCATGTCCATGTGATTGCTCTGGAACCGGTACCGAGGGATAAAGCAGGTCTTGCCTTGTTGGAAAATGTCCCTGATGATATCTTCTGTCTCGATTTCATCTTGCATGCTCAGAAAGATGGAAATTCTTTTGGACTTTTGATACTGACTGTGGGCAATCACCTAAAAGGGAAAGGGTGGCAATCATATTCTCCAAGATCACACTTTTAAAAACGGAGCGATTCCCCTGAACAGTCCCTCCTTTCTCTCAGCCTCCCCCAACTTCTTTAACTACCAAAACAAAGCAGAGTGACAACAGTGGGTCGGACAGCGCTGCGTCCGGAAGCCCGACTTTGAGCTCGGGACCCAACGCTGACCTCCCTGACCCCTTTACCCCTTTCTGGCGTGTCCACCTGGGAGGCTTGAGAATTCACTGTAATCATGGTGGGGACCAGGTGTCTGTCTTGAGAACCAGGCTTGACCCCCACCTACCCGTTTCAGTAATCTTCAGTCATTCTACTTGCTTCTCCTGGAGTCCTTGCTTCATCTCTGAACGTTGGCTCCCACAAGCTTCTCCACGCCTCAGACTGTCAGGCTTCTTACTCCTCAACTCTACCCATTTGAAGCCCAACGCAAGCCCTCACTTCTCCTAACTGGTGCAGAGCCCTTACTACATTTAGAGTTAACATACAACCTAACAATTCTGCACCGCATGAGTTGATCACTGATTGTTTCACGTGCTCTAAATGTAGCATCCCCGACCGGTCCACAAACTCCCTGAGGCAGAGAGCATGGCTTACAGTTTTCTCTTAGCTCTATCATTCCCATCCTGTTTCCTAAAATTCTTCTGTTTGAATGAATGTTAAAATGTCCACAAAGATGCCAGGTGGGAAGAGAGGATCCTGGTGAAAGAAACCACTGTTCGCTAGGCTGAATCACTCAGGCAGGAGGCTGAGCTGTGCGTACCACAGAAAAGTTAGCAATCTCAGCACCTTACCCAGACTCAGACGTCAGCCCTTTAGCTTTGTTTTAAGCCCCTCCTTTTCTGTTCTTCCCTATTCTCTAAGTTAAGAAGAAAAACAAAATACTGCAAATCAGCTTACAAATATGACTGGCAGAAAGATACAGGTACAGAAGGTCAAGTTATTCCTAATGAAAAAGGAAACACAGAAATTAAGCAGATGAGAGCCATCAAACCAGTGCTAAGGAAGGAAGTGAACTACTGCTTTCTGAGTGCGAAGTTACAGCGAAGTTACTGTTAGGAGGCCTGAAACAGGCAAAGGAAATGCAAGACCCAGAACTTGGGCAGGCCTGGGGCTTTTGGTATTCAAGTTAAGTAAAAGTTATATAAGAAAGTTAAGTGTCTTTCTTGTTTTCTTTAAAGCAGAATACAGAAAATCAAGAGCTGAATAAGCAGTAATAAACACCCGTTAAAATTCAGTGTGAGACTGTGCATACACATTACCTTCCTCAAATCCCATTTATATGAAAGTAAAGAAGCCCCAAAAAAGAAAATCCATTATAGCACTGAGGAGAAGACAGCAAGAGATGTAATTTATGTAAGGCAGACAGTGGATGGGACAGTATTTATAGATAAAACAGCAGCAGACCACAACACTCAGAGAACAAGGACAGGTTCAGGCAGAGTCCATTCCAAGCAACAGAGGAAACCCCACTGGCTACCAAGCCTTCATTCATAAATATGTATACACAATAAAGGGTCATCAAATATTTTGGAAAGCCAAAATACAAAATAGAAGGAGTAAAAAAAAAAGGGGGGGGGGGAGAGGGGAATGACCCAGCAGGAAACTGAGATAATCAAAGAATTTTTTGAAATTGTAATTAGTTTTCTCAGATAAATCTAAGAAGATAATTACACCTATAAAACAACAACAGACTGCTATGGAAAGGGAGCAATCAGAGGAGTAAGAAATAATCATTGGAAATTAAAATTGTGATTAGCAAAATTAAAACAATTTAAGAGAAAGACGTGGAGTAGGTGAAACGGACAAAAATAGGGAAAATGAGAAAAAAAAAAGTTAAGAGATACAGAAAACCAATTGAGGATTTTTTACTATCTCATTAACAAGAATTCCAGAAAGGCACAAAGGAAAAGAAATAATAAAAGATATTGTAAGGATGGTGGCGCCTGCCCCCCAGATCAAAAAGAAAAGACTCATGATATCAGACCCCGCTAAGAACAACCACACCTAGATGTCCACCCAGATAAGAAGTTTTTTTCCGATCCTGGATTCTGCAAATACCGCCAGTCCCTCCTATTTCTCTGTGACCACCCAAGGTCACAATGGAAAATCCCCAGCTCTTCCCGCCAAAAGTCCCTAGCCAGGCCCAAACAGTATAAAAGGCCTCACCCGCTTCAACCGGATGCAACTTCTCAGGTCCCCCTCTACTGGGACCCAAGAAGCTTGTCCAGGAGCAAATAATAAAGCCACGTTGTTTGGCCCCACTCTTTCTCTCTCTCTGTTTCTTTCGCTGCTTGAAAACTTTACAGACATACTAATAGATAAATAAAAAACATCAATCTCCATATTGAACGGGGACCATAGGTGCTAAGCAGAACAAGGAAAAATAATTAGAAATTAAAACTATCCATCAAATATGAGGGTAAAATACTTTCTATTGAATAAAGAATTTAAAAGTGTGCCCACACCCACAGATATTTTCTAAAAAAAAAAAAAAAAAAACACTGAAGTTATACTCTAATAAGACAGAGGAGAAAAAAAAGAATCGCAGAAAGAGGAAGCCATTGGACTTAAGAAAAGCCCTAACTCAGAAGTGGAATGAGCAGGACCCCAGGCAATGCTGTGTAATGGGCCAGAAGGCAACCAGACCAGAGGGAGCAGTGGCTGGAGTGCTTTCAAAAAGAAGTGCATTTATTTTAACAGATAAAATGAAAAGGAATCAATTGATAAAATAAAGGCATATTCTTGTTTTGCCAAAAAAGAAAAATGAAGGCAATCAAAAACTCCTGGAAAAACACACAAATTGGAAATATGCTCCAAATAGGAATGAAGTAAGTAAAACATGCCATGATTTTGAGCAATTCTAGGGTAAAAGAAAAAATATTTGGTATTGACACTTGAAACATTCCCCTCCTAGCCACATATCCAGTGACATAAAATGATACATCCTTTCTTACCTATTCAATCCCACAAGTTGGTTCTACAGAGTATACTACTGATATAAAAAACTGTAAATGCAGTTTTCTGGAATTTCAAATTTGGAAATCAGCCACAAACACTGCTCAGTAGACTCACTGTGGTCACAGAACAGAGTTTAAATATTGTAAAGTTTGACAACGTAAGTATCATAATATAGGTGTCAGAAACTGGCAGATGCAGTAAAAAACAAAGTGAGTAAAGGCACACTAATTTACTCATCTTAATTATTTAAGGAGTCAAGATATGGCATAAAGCTGAATTTCTTTGCCACATATTACTTGTCTGATAAATTCCTAAGTTATATAAAAGGTGCTGTGCCAACAAGAAGAAATATTCTTTTTTAACGAAACACATCATTTAATGCCTTTATTGAGCATTCACTATGGCAAAACATGGCTCTACTCACAGTATGCTGATGTTTTGGGCCATGATCCATTGGTCATAAAATCAATAGTAGGTTATAATCAGCATTTTTAAATGAACTATAAAATATTAAAGTACACTGTATATGGTAAGAATTGTAAAACACAGTCCTTGTATGTATATATGTTTATGTGGAGCAAAACTGTAGTTATTACTGAGTAAAAATTATTCCAATTTTTCTCCCTCCTCCTTTGATGCCAGCTCTCAGTTGTCATTCTATTGCAGTCAGCAATTCTGCCTCTACATAACCACTATTCACACCTGGAGTTTATGAATTCTAATTTTCTATGGGCAAAGAAACCAAACAGAATTCACCTTTATTTTCCCCATGCCCCTCCAAAATCTGTCCCAACTCCTACATTCCTTATGCCTCTTAATGCTAGACAGCACAGCCCCAAACTCTAAATTTTGGAATCACATGTGACTCCCTTTGCCTTCCAATATTCTCAACCTCTATCCAATCAGTTGCCAAGTCCTGCTGATTCTCATCCCACGGTCTCTCCGTTCACCTCTTCCCCCCCCCCTTCCCTGTCCATGCTCTAGTTTGCATATTTATAGCCTCTCACCTGAATTATCAGAACAGCCCCTTACTGGTCTCCCTATTATTTTTCTTATCACAACCCATTATCCAAATGCTGCAAATATACTACTTCTTAAGGATATATTGAAAATACGTAAAGCACTGAACACAACCCTCCTTTCCACCTCTCTTTAACTCTCACAATAAACCTACCAAGATATCATCCCTTCTATAGATAAGGAACCAGAGAGATTAGAAGACTTGTTCAAGGCCACACACAATTAAAAAATAATGGAGGCCAGTAGGGTGGCTCACACCTGTAATCCCAGCACTTTAGTAGGTTGAGGCAGGAAGACTGCTTTAGGCCAGGAGTTTGAGACCAGCCTGGGCAACAGGGTAAGAACCTGTCTCTACAAAAATTAAAAAATGGGAAAATTAGCTGGATATAGTGGTGCATGCCTATAGTCCCAACTACCCTGGAGGCTGAGGCAGGAGGAGCACCAGAAGAGGTTACAGTGAGCTACGACCATACTACCACTGCACTCCAGCCTGGGTGACAGAGCGACCCTGTCTCTGGAAAACAGGACTGAAGCCAAAATTAAATCCAGATCCGTGTAGTTCCAAAGCCCGTTATTATAAAATGTATTCTTGCCTCTGTTGCCTAAACATCCCCGCACAGGCTCCCTCGCCCCATCGCTCCCTTCATGTAACAAAATCCATCCCATTTTCTTATAGGAAGCCTTCCAACTCCCCTTCCCCCGTCACATTTCCACGACACAGGTAACACAGGTATGTCCACCTGTGCCGTGTGTCTGGCTGCTCCGCACGGCTGTGGTCACGCGTCTGTTCCCTCTTCTCGGCTCTCTGCCTCTTTAGGGCAACAACCACCACCGTCCCTTTTTCGTCTCCACAACCAAGGACAAAGTGCAAACCACAGCAGGTGCTTAACACACGTGAAAGACTTGAATCGCAAACAAGAGTACGAGTCCATGTTCACTACGTCTGCTAGGGCACCCAAGAGTGCCTTCCTCGGGATAGCTCAAACAGCTCAGTCCGAACGGAAGCGTGGCCCTGACCCTAACCCTAGCCCTAACCCTAGCCCTAACCCTAACCCTAGCCCTAGCCCTAACCCTAACCCTAGCCCTAACCCCACGCAGACGCGTCCTCACGCGCTCCGCGCAGGCCGGGAGGAGCGCAGAGAGAGGCGCGCGTCTGCCGCGTGGTTTCAACCCGCAGGAAACCCGAATCCGAGAAAGTAACCAGTAGCGTGTTTCCCCGAAAATAAGCCGTCCCCATAAAACAAGCCCCGGCGGGAGGTCTAAGCATGCGCGCCATAGAAGCCCCACCCCGAAAATAAGCCCTGGTGAGGGCGTGGCTATGAAAATAAGCCCTAGTGGTAGGCGTGGCTATGTAAATAAGCCCTAGCAGTGGGCATGGCTATGAAAATAAGCCCTAGTGGTGGGCGTGGCTCTGGAAATGAGCCCCCAGTGCTGGGCGTGGCTATGAAAATTAGCCCTAGTAACGAGCGTGGCTATGAAAATGAGCCCTAGTAATGGGGTGTCTGCACAACCCGTGCGTGTGGTCGCGGCGGAAAGAACACGAGCAGCCCTTCCCATCCGCCCGTGAGAGCTCTGTGGCTCCACAGGAAGATCGGGCGGTGGCTCTAAGGGAAACAGAGTCCAAGACATCCAGGACGGGATTCGGGGTCTGGAGAGTGAGGACGGTGCTCCAGAAGACGACGGCTGCACCGTGTTTGGATAAATGTAGATGGCTGTGCCCTACTTTAAACACATAACACGCCCCCGCAACAAGCCGGCGCCCTCTCGAGGGAAGACCAGCACAGGCGCGGCCCGTCTGGGGAGACGCGGGACGCGCGTCGCGGGTAGCCGGGAGGTTCGTGTCCCGCCGGTTCCAGGGGACACAGGTCTGGGGGCCGCAGGGCGCCCCACGGCAGACGCGACCCTGGGAGCCGAGCAGCGCCAGCGCCGCTCACGAATGCCCACACGCGGCCCGTCTTTCGCCGGCGCCCGAACAGAATCGCGTCCCGGCGCCTTCCGGGAGTGCCTCGCCACAGGCCGCGGCCGCCCTGCCTCCCCTCCGCTGAGGAGAACGCTGACACTGTGCCCACGGACGGCCGGGGCGGGCCCTCGGCGACGGCGACGGAGCCGCGGGCCGCCTCACTCCTGCCCTTCCTTACTTCAGGGGGCGACAGCGCCCCGGCCTGCGGCCCGAAAGTGCCCGCCCTGGGCACCGCACCGCTCCAGCCCCCGTCGGAGCTCTGCGTCGCCGTCCTGACGCCGGGACTGGTCACGCCCAGCGAGGGGGCCCGGTCCGCCCGCCTCCGCCTGGAGCCTCCTCGGCGCCCACTGCCACTGAGGCGCCCGCGACCACGGCCGCCCGGGAGCAGTCCGCGACGCCCGCCTGTCGTCGCCTCGCGCCTCCTCAGCCTCGCCCCCTCGCCTCAGTCGCCCTCTCAGCCTCTGCTCAGCCTCGTTCCTTCACCCTTTCAGCCTTGCCCTCTCAGCCTCTCGCCCCCTTAGCCTCTCGCCCCCTCAGCCTCTCCCTCAGCCTCTTCCTTCACCTTTCACCTTGCCCTCCTCAGCCTCTCGCCCCTCAGCCTCTCGCCCTCTCAGCCTCTTGCCCCCTCAGCCTCTCCGCCTCAGCCTCGTTCCTTCACCCTTTGAGCCTGCCCTCTCAGCCTCTTGCCCCCTCAGCCTCTCGCCCCCTTAGCCTCTCGCCCTCTCAGCCTCGTTCCTTCACCCTTTCAGCCTTGCCCTCTCGGCCTCTCGCCCCTCAGCCTCTCGCCCCCAGCCTCTCGCCCCAGCTCTCGCCCCCCAGCCTCTCGCCCCCCAGCCCTCTCGCCCCCAGCCCGTCCTCGCCAGCCCGCCCCTCCCTCCGCCGGGGCACCCAAGGGCGTCCCGACACCCGCCACAGCACGTGCGCGCGCCCCGGGGGACGAGCGCGCGCCGAGGGCCTGGCCTGCGCCTGCGCGGACCCTCGGCCGCAGCCCCGGGGCGTTCAGGCGGGCGTGGGTCCGCCGTGGCCCGGCCGCCGGCGTCGCGCACCTGCTGCGTCA